TGGACTCTTTCCATTTGAACAAAAGTAAGGATTAATAGGCCTCTTTTTTCCCAAAGAAAGAATTCCATTTGTGGGGAAGAAGTGGTCTTGAGACATTTCAAGCTGTTTATTGTTGAATAAATGGAGGTCTTGGAAGGAAGTGAAAGCCATGGCTCCGAGGTGGTTCCTGGAGGCTTGGTTTTGGAGGTCTTTGAAGCTTGCTGTGGCAGTGATTGATTTTTCTTCCCCAGCTAGAGTTTGATATGCTTTCTCTAATATGGATTGCATGTATTTTCCTTGGGCTTCAATTCTCATTTGAAGGTGCTTTTGAACCTATATATGCATATGGTGAAATAGTCATATGAAAATAAAGAAAAAAAGGTGCATGGTGATATATGTTCTTAGCTTGATTTTAGTCCAAGATACAAGGCAAATTTGAATAGAAATATTTTTTTTTCATTAATACATAAGAATCACATGCCAGAGTTCATCTTTTCTGGTGTGAAGCAATTTCTGGCTTATAAATATAGCAAATAGTTATTTGTTTGATCCTATATTCAAAAAATTTGGCACTTTAGGATGGCTTAAATAATTACAACAACCATTGTGTCATTTATTTTTTTTATGATGGAATTGGGGGAAACCATTTGGGAGTGGTATGAATTCAGATTTTTGTTGGTGCATGCTTCCATAACTCTTTTGAACTCACACAAATGTCAACATTTGTTTGGTGTAATTTTGTTTATTTTTTGGAGTAGAATAGAAAATAAAATAGTGGATAAGCAGATGAAGAAGAAACCATTAATATATCTCTTCCATCTGCATTTTTAAGGAAGCTTGAAATGACAGTTTATGGGGTATTTTATCTAATTTTTTTTAAATGGTAGTAGTTATTTCTTTGCACCTGTATTCAGAAAAATTTGACGTTGGCACTTTATGATGGCTTAAATAATTACAGCAACCATTATGTCATTTATTCTTTTTGGTGATGGAATTGGGAGAAACCATTTGGGACCTTGTTGAAAGTTGTTGAAATCATTGCCTAGTCGATTGAATGCTGCAGTAATGTTCAAATAAATTTTTTATGATTACGATTGTCTGCGGTGGGGTTATGGGTGCACTGTTGCCATTTCTTTAGCTACACTATTATACTTCTCTGTGGGATTATTACCTTGTTGTTTTTGTACATATCGACATTCCTTAGCTACTTCTCTGTGGGGTTATTACCTTGTTGGGTTATGGGTGCAATGCTGCCATTTCTTTAGCTACACTATTCTGTTTTTTTTTTACCTAATGGAATCATTCTAATTGAGATTTGTGTATATGAGGCTCTATGGGTTTTCTTTGGCTTGCTTTACATTCTACCTGAGTTTTTTCTTTCTTTTTTATTTGTTCTACAGTTGAGCTCTAGCCCAACTTGTTAAATTTGAAATGAGCTTTTATTTTAACAAATAATCTCAATCCCCAATCACATTTTATTTGGTCTGCTGTTTATTTGAGCTTGAAATTTATCTGGTGTCATCTTCTATTTCTGTAGCTCCGGTCAATGTGGAAAAATGCAATTTAACCAAGGAAGATTTACATACATATACAAATTTTGAATAATATATAGCATTAAATAACATTCTTCCCTTTGAACCGTTGAAGGATGAAAGTCATGGGAGAGTGTGATCGTTGAATAGTTCATTAAGAACTTCTAAAATAATGATTGTATTATCACTTGTCATAACCTGCCTCTAATAGCTCCATGTATAATACTTACACCTATGTATATAGCTCCATTTTGTATACATATCTTTGATCTGCATCTGATGGAAATAGAGTTGTTAAGGCATAATTTGAGTTTCTGTATGGAAATGATAATGCACCATGCACCTTATAATGTTATGTATGCCGTAAACTTTAAGGAGCAGTTAAGGCTGTTGTTCTTGTTCGATTCCATTTTTTGGGCTATATCTGCTACTTGCTGGTTGGAGAGTTTGGTTTTAAGCACATATTACAACTCCTCTATTATGTTCTTTTCTGAAGCAATGTATTTTGGCTTGGAACATGTATGGCATCATTTTCAAAAATTCTTGTCAAACAGAAATGCTTGAGGGAAATGTAAATAACTGCTTGGGAGATAATTTTTTTGGGTATATCTGCTACTTGCTGGTTGAAGAATTTGGTTTTAAGCACATATTACAACTCCTCTATTCTGCTCTTTCTCGGTAAGCATGAGTTTTCTTGTTAGCTGGCTCGGTTAGCTTACAAAAATGCTTGTTTAACAGAAATGCTTGAGGGTGGAGTTTCTAGTGAGGAATTATATTTTAATTGGTCTACATGTTTAAAGTAGCTTGGATGGGGTATATCTAATTATTTGTTAAACAAAAATGATTACAGGTTTGGTAAGCATGAATTTCCTTGTTAGCTGGCTCACATCATTTTAAAAAATGCTTGTTAAACAGAAATGCTTGAGGGAAATGTAAATAGCTTCTAGGGAGATTTTTTTGGGGTATATCTGCTACTTTCTGGTTGGAGAGTTTGGTTTTGAGCACATATACAAACCCAGCATAGTTCGTATATGTTTACATTCATGTGTACATACATATGAGTATATCAGTTGTATGTGAAAATATTTTTTGTGGTATATCTGCTACTTGCTATTTATATAAACGAAGCTTCTTGGATGAATTGACTAAATGGTATTGATGTATGATTGTTGGATGAATGTTTATGTTTGCTTTATTTTTATGTGCTGGTGCTGGAAGAATAGAGGAATGCTGATTTGGAATGCTTTTAGCTTTTATTGTAGCTGTGGTTTGATACTTGGTGGTGGGAGCATCATGGATGGGCATTGTTGTTTGTTGTTGGCAACCGTTGCTTCCATTTTTTTGTTGTTGTAAAACAGGATTTGAGACACCACCTGTATATATCAATTAATAATTTTGCTTACACCACCTGTATATATCAAACTTTGGGTGTTAGATTTGTAAATACATAAGAATTGTGGAGAGATGAAGATGATATCTACTAAAGTTTCATTGGGAAATAAATTTTGTTTACACGACAGTATGTTTCCCCCTCTCTTGTCTCCCACATTCTGCCTGCAATGCTGTACTATTAAGCAAAATTATGAGTCATACATTTTTTTACATTTGAGCACTAATGTATTGTTAAGCTTAATTATGAACGAAGCTGAATTTTTTGTAAAATGCTGACTCTGCAGTTTGTTTTATGGAATCATGAGTATCATAGAAGCAGGTGATGCTTATATTAGAGTTTATATTAGCAGCTTTGAGCATATTTTATAGTTAATATGGATATATTGCTTTATGCTGGTTAATAGCTTCACCTCTTATATGGTGGATAACGGTGGAGTAGTTTGGACGGCCACTTAAATTTGTTGTCGGCAATCGCTGTCTCCATACTTGGGTAAGTTTACTTTTTATATTTCCTCAATTTTTGGAATGATCTATTCTATTTTTAATAACTGCAGAACAATGAGTTCCAGACATTCAGGGAAGTCCGAGAAAGTGATGTGTCGTTGCGGACTACTGTCCTTGTTATTCACATCACGCCAGACACATAGCTTCGGGAGGCAGTTTTACAGGTGCCCGCGGTGGGGACAAAGACTGCAAGACTGCAATTTCTTCAGGTGGGGCGACAATGCAACTGTTTCTACAATATCCCAATTGGACATAGCTGCTAGGAGTTCGGTAGTCCCACAATGGGAGACCACCGCATATGGTTCGAGTTCTTCCGTATTTGCTCGGGGTTTTGAGGTATCAGAACCGGGCAACATTCGTCTTGATGTGATTTTACATTTTAAAGTCAATATTGTCATATTTTTCCTTGTAATTTTAACATGTTATTTTTTCTTTTTTTTTGTCTTATTATAATCCATATTAGTGTGTGAATGTGTAATGAACTTTCATATATGTCACTGTGCTTATTTGATGTAATCAAAACTTTTTTGAGTTATATAAATATTATTAAACTTTTTTGCATTTTTATTTCTTGACATTTGAGAAAATAACATTCTAGTACACAGATTATTCATTGAACTAAAATAATTTCCAAATAAGCTATTTACAAAACGCACTAATCAAACAACGCACTAACAAAATAGTTAAACAACTTATTCAGAATAGGGGCAAAATGGTCAATTTTCCATAATCAGCTATTTTCAAGACGCACTAATTAAACAACCAGACAGTTTTTCCGGATCGGCTGGTCATCAGCAGATTATCAGGATAAGCTGCTTATCAGCAGAAGCTGGATAAGCTGGAGCTTAGAGTCTATTTGGGGCCGCTGCAGGTTATCCAAGCTATTTATCCTGATAATTTGCTGATAAGGAGCTGATCCAAATAAGTTATCTTGTTGTTTGGTTTGTGCGTTTTGAAAACAGCTGATTCTGGAAAAATGATTATTTTGCCCCTGTTCTGAATAAGCTGTTTAGCTGTTTGATTGGTGCTTTTTGTAAACAGCTTATTTATAAATTTTTTTAGTTGAATTAATAATTTATATACCAGAATTTGTTATTTTTTTAACAAAATTAAAGATCAAATGTTAAGAGAAGAGAATACAAAAAAGTGGTGTTACATTTATATAACTCAAATATATCTAATCACATCAAACGAGCAAAGTTATACATACAAAAGTAAAATGCACCTTCACATACTAATATAGAGTATAATGAGACAAAAAAAAATAAATAACATGTCAAAATAATAAGGAAAAAAATTATAATGTTGACTTTATAATGTATCAACATATCACGACCCATGCTGCCCGGCTCTGACACTCTAGAACCCTGAGCGAACATGTTCGACTATGATGCAGTAGAAAAGGAAGCACTCGAACCAGATGCGGTGTTTTTAAATTTTGAGATCGACGAACTCTGCGTAGCAGTGTCCAGTTGGGATATCATAGAAACAGAGTCCTTGTCGGCCAACCTGAAAAAAGTGCATTCTTCATGTCGTTGTGCTCACTGCACGCACCTGTAAAATTGTCTCCCGAAACTATGTGTCTAGCGTGACGTGAGTAGCAAGGTTAGTAGCCCGCACCGACACATCACTTTCTCGGACTTCCCTGAATATCTGGAGCTCATCTTCCTGCAGTTATTAAAAATAAAATAGATCAGTAAAAAAATTGAGGAAATATAGAAAGTATACGTAACAAAATATGGACGCAGCGGTTGTCGACAACAAATTTCTGTGGTCGTCCAATCTGCTCCACCGTTATCCAAATTATAAGAGGTGAAACTATTAACTAACATAAAGGAATATATCCACAATAATTATAAAATATGTTCAAAATTGTTATTAAAAGCAGCAATATATATTTTAGGTCATACAAAGAAATTCATCCAAAAATAAAACAGCTCAATGTAATTGTAGGAATACAGATACATTTGCTGCATAAAAATAATTTGTCACAAAACAGAAATACTATTTTCCAAACATATCAACCAAGACATATGTAATCTTATAACTAAAAACTTAAACAACTAGTCCATAGATACAAGTTTGGACTATAATTTTAGAAATCTATACAGCTTAAATGATTGCATTCATAAATTTTTGAAATTCTTAAAAGCTTGCCCATGTTTCTAGCAAAGCAAGGAGACCATAGCATCTTATGGAATTATAAAAAATGAACCATTGCTTTCATCAAAGCAAGGAGAACATGCAAACAACAAATTGATGAAGTACCATAGCCTAAGGAGAATAATTGTAGCAAGGGAACATCTACAGCCAGCATGCAGGTACCAAATTACAGCCAGCAGACTTGTAGGGGATGGAAAGAAGCTAGAGTAAAATCTACTAGCCATCAATATTAATGAACATAAAACTTCCAGCAGCCAATGACAAAATCCATCATGGTTTGATTTCAGTTTCAAGATTTATTTTCTGCCATAGATGCTCATAGTTTGATTTCAGTTTTAAGATTTATATGAAAATACCTGAATCACCAAGGATCCAACTCCACCTGCCCCACCTAATACAAGAATAGATTTACCAGCAGAGAAGCCTGCTTTCTCCAAGCCTTCATTTGTTGTCTCAATAGCGAGAGGAATTCCAGCAGCTGACTGAAAGTCCAAATTAAAAATGCAGAAAAAGGAGATGGAAGGAAGTAAAATTTAAAAATGTCCCCCTAATTGTGGAAGTAAAGGTTGCCAACAACAAAACTCATTGGTCATCCAAGCTCCTCCACAATTATTCTCCTATTATTTTTTGTTGAGAACAAAACTCCTTTGGGTTGACAGAAAACATCCAAAACCTCCTTACCAACTCAATAAAAATGTTCTGCATTCAACTCCTCCACGAAAACATTACATAAATTCCAGGGCACATGTTAATTGTAAACAACAGGCAACAGAAACATTTCCTTGAAATTGACCAATATGAAATAACTGATATTCTCTCATTTTAGCCATACAAATTTACATATCACAAAATAGCAATACTTTTTAACTCTCTTTTTTTTAAAGAAGAGGAGAATTTGATGATAGAAGAACTCTAAGGGCTTGGAAGAATAGGAAAATTTGATAAAAAATGAGGATTCATAATTATCATTTCCTAAGCAATAGCAGATCTATAACTTGATTACACTACAGGGATGAAAATTTATAACTCACAAAATAGGCATGGTAAAGTATATCGAGCATTTGGAATCTTGCACAGGAATTTATCCAACGTTGAAATAACCCTTCAATGGGTTTACAGAAACACGTAAAATGGGATATAAATTCCAGGGTATAGGTTAATTGTAAAAGCTTGCAATTTAAATAAAATATTCACTTCTCTGTGATTTGATGAAATGGCCAATTTTTCAGAGTGCTTATGCAACATTCCAAAATGAAATGAACAAACAATGAAAATACATATGTAAGCAGTTTCTTCTTCCCTCTTGCACATAATACCATAAATATCATTGAAAGAACTCTATGTAATGAATGTAAACAGCTCAATGTAAGTTGGGATATAAGATACAATTAAATATGCTAGTTTTGAGCAAAATTCTAGCCACATTTGCAACTGCTAGTCACATTTGGAAGCAAGGAAATGTATAGATTGCTTCCTTGCTTTCCTAAATAAGCTTGTAGCAACATGTTGACCTCACTTTTGGTTGAGGTCTAGTTCTTTCTCTTTAGTAGCCTAGGGTCTATTCATAGGACTTTCCTATTGACTATTCCTAGAAAACTAGAACAGGAACTATCACCATTAGAAATTCCAAACTCCTCTTTACTCAACTTGAAGTTCAACGTAGTGGTCCTAACCTCTAGCACTTAGTAGGTGGGGTCATTATGGAGGAGCTCAAGGAGAGTTCCCATATGACTGCTTGCCCTTACAGTTGACTCTGGGTGTTGGTATAGAGCTAAGGAACTCACTACAATCACCTCACTCAATATCACTCAATACCCTGAACCCAAAATTCCTTAATCTTGATCCCTTAATCATTTGGGAGACTCATGTAGATGGTCCTCTAAACCTACTAGCCCTAGGCTAGGATTTAGCTAAGACCAATACATAGAGGACCCAAATGGGGTTTCCACTGGTCCATAGCTCATTTATGATGGTTGTGTCGCCAATTCTACCAAAAATACTCAACTTGGCATTTTTCCACTAAACTCCCCAAAATTACTTAAGTACCCTTGAAACCCTAAATTTTGCCAAAATTCTCAAATTTACCCAAAATACTCAAATTTGTTCAAAAATAATTTCAAACCCTTTGAAAACGTCCAAATTACCGAAAATCTCCAAAAAAAATTGTTAAATTACCAAAATGCCCCTCCTTAGCCCAAATATTAATAAATTCTAAAAAATCCCAAAAAATCCCAAAACCTTCCAAATATTCTCAATTTCATTTTTCTCAACTACCACATGACCTAATTTGACCAAATTGACCATCTTGATCAACACCCCAAATTTCATTTAAAGGTCCAATTTCCCTAAATTTACCTCAAACATCCATCAATTTGGTCCCAATTTCCCCCAATTTTAATTCTAAACACAAATTCACCTTCCAAATTCAAGCTCAATTTGCCCATGCTTTGAGCCCAATTTTGATCTAAATCAAACCCCCAATTTTGGCCATATGAGTTGATCTCACCAAATTGAACATATATCCTACTCAATTTGTCACAATTTATGTTGAAAACTCTTTATAACATTCTTAAACATTAAACTTGACCTTCAATTGGCCTTGGTGAATCCTCAATTTCATTTAATTTCAACTTAAATCCAAAAATCCCCAAATTTTCCCCAAATTGGTTATGTCCTCAAATTCCACCAAAAACAATAAATTTGGACTTAGCCCAAGCTTAGCCCAATCTAGACCTAAGTCTAACCCAAATGCACCAAAATTGGCCATGAGCCAAAATCCATCAAATTGAGCTTCCAAATCAACTCAAAATCACTCAATTATTTTTATAAACTCCTTGTGATAATCATCTACACCATTTTAGCCCATTAAATGAGCTCTAGATTATGGCTAACCTAACCCAAACCCACTTTAAGCCAAATTGACCTGCATGGACCCCTTCACCAAAAATTGACACAATCAAGCCAAATTGACCAACCAAAGACCACCACAGCCAAATTCTAAACCTTATTGACCAGACTAAACCCCATGGAACCACCCAAATGAGCCATGGACCAAAGGATCCCCAAATCAAGGGATTTTCTTCCAAAATTGCTTAAGCCTAAGGGATTTTTGCCAAAACTAAGCGCCTGCCAAAATAAATTGATGTGACATATTCTCCTGGCTCACCTGACCTCCTGACCACCTCCCCTTGCCTTGTCGGCTAAGGCTAGCCTAGTTTCCAAAAAATGGCCAAATCAAGAGCCACCCCCATGGAATCAACCCCAATTAAAACCTAGTGGCCACCTCATCCCATTTTAAGTTTAAAGTCTCTCTGCCCTCCACCTAAGCAAACTTTTTCACCCCCCAATTGGCCATGGCAGCCACCCTAAGCCAATTTTATAAAACCTCGCCTCCATGGTCATAAGAGAAGGTGCTGAAATTTTCTCAAAGAGACCCCTCCAAATTGCTCCTAGAGCCCTTTGAGACTTCCTCAGTGCAACCCAACCACTACATTGCCCTAAATTGCCTTGCCAGAGTTCAATTTTTTAGCTCAAAACCTTGTCGGAGACAGAACATGGCTCTCTACACCTCTACACTCCACTAAAACCAAATTAAACTCACCCACACATTTACCACGATGAAAGAAGACAAAATCCCATCAAATCCCCCTCCCAAAAAGTCTCCACACAAAACTTTGATCAACACCCATACCTTGATTGAATTTGGGTTTAGAACTTTCACCACGACCAGAAGCTCAATCCCTAGCCTCCTTGGACCTTCACGAATGTGCCGAGCACCTCTGATTGAAGCTTCCCTTCTCAGAGCAAAGGTATTGAACTTCCCCACTATCCCGAGCTATCTCCATTTGATTTGGCTTAGTTTAATGGCATGTTTACCGTATGGATGTGTTCTTCTCACTTAGACGAATCCATAGGATTAAACCCCATGAGATTTGGTTGAGTCTAGAGGGAGATATTAAGGTTTTAGTGTGAACGGGTATTAGGTTAGCCTATTTGGGGACGATGATGCGGAGCCATTTGTTCGCGTATTTATCTCATAAACGAACGAGATCTAGTTGGACAACACCTTTTTACATGAAACACGGGCCGAGTCAGCGCTGAGGTAGATGGTGGCGCCAAACCAAAGGACACCACATCGAGCTTCGGAGCCGTCGTAGGTTGACACGGTGCCCCACGTTTAAATAGATGAATAGGGTATTTTCTGATTTAAATAAATAGCCCTAACTTCAAAAATTCATATCTTGGTATAGAAAAATCACAAAAAATAAAATAAAAATATTGTTTTACTCAGTGAATAGAAGAGAATAATGTGCAAATAGTTTGAAGTTCATTTGATGTATATTTTATTTTTAATTAATTAAATACTATTCTGAGTCTTTTGATTCTCTATGCATGTAGACATTTCACCATGGCTTGAAATATTGGCATGTTATTGTCTCTATCTTAGAGAACATTCTCTGATTTTCCTAAAGTCAGAGGAGATCTCTAGACAAAAATTCATATTTTTCAATTTTATGTCTATTATTTGCATAAATTAATCATAATAATTAGCATATTGCATAGAAAATTCCAAGAAAATTTTGGAAGGTTTGTCATGACCAGAAAATTCTTTGGAAAATGTTTCATGAGTCAAGTCATTAAAAATACACTTAATTTTTACAAATCATAAAAAATAATGAAAATCAATTTTGGGAAACATAAACATCTAAATGCCTTAATTTTAACTCTCCACTATAATTTTAAGTTCAGAGAACTCCTCATAAAAATTTAAAAATATTTGGAGTTCATTTGATAACTCAAATTGATTTCTATGTTAAGTGTTATTTTTAACACTAAAATAATTTTTAATAATTAAAACATAACACAAAGAAATTGTAAAAATTAGTTTTAGGAGTTCTTTGTGATCAGAGGAATTTTATAAAAATAAAATGGTAATTACAATAAAAACTTCATTTTTAGCCTATTTTTATTATTTAAATAATTAAAAAATGTTAAAAATCACAAAAAATAATAAAATTCATGGAAATGTTTCAAATTCTTTCTTAAGCACTTAGGAACAATTGGAATATTTTTTTCTTAATTTTCTAAGTGAAGATATTGAATTTTGAAGTTTAAAATAATTTTTAAAG